CCCACTTTTCTTGAAACATACATCCTTCTTCAGATAATTTTCTCTTTTTACGAGATGGAGTAGAGTTCAACATTTTTAAGGCAAAATATTACAAAATTACGAACGTTTTCATTTTACATTTGTTCTTATTTAGTTGTCAAGGATGATCACATGATTAACCAGAAGTTAAAAATAGTCACTGACATTCGAAAACAAAACCATTGACATAGAATAAACAATCTAATCACAACAATTGAAAAAAATCTCATTGTTTTTAATAATTTGCATTACCAACATAGACAAAATTCTCCATATACCACGGCTATAGAAAACTTTGTGAGGGCCGCCAACCTGCATGCAAAGGGCCGCATGCGGCCCACGGCCCGCCAGCTTGACGCACCTGACCTGGGATGTACCATTTACTAATAATTTTACTAATTTTTCTTGATTTGCCCTGCTGAAATTGAGATGTGTCTTATACACCCGTGCGTCTTATATGCTGTCAAATACGGTATTTAATTTTGGAGCCGTGTTTTGTACAGAATCGTAAAGTTTTTCGTATTACTGATTTTTGTAGGATTTATTTTTAGGCGTCTCTTGCTTTTTTTTCTTCTTCACTTATTGGCCGTAAGATATAGGAGTTTATATCTTATAGAAGATACGAATTTATTAATCCTCTCGCATATATTAAAAAATAAAGAATAACTTACTTAACCAATTTTACATTCTGTGGCAAATACGACACCAACATTCAGAAATTTGTTGTTTGAAACTCTTTTTCGTTTTGAGTGAGGTAATAATATTTATTCTTTTTATGATGAAAGTTTTCTTTGATTCTATTACCGTTTTAATGAAAAGAAAACATCGAGAACCAGGAAGACGTTTTTGTTTGCCATGAAAAAGATATCAGCAAAATCAAATAAGAAACCCGTTGTCTTATTTACGTAGGGGGAAAAATTCACCCAAGTGTCTACCTTTACAGACCCTGAGCATGAAAAAAAGTCAGAGTGTGCAAAAGTCATTTGGATAAAAAGGTACACTTTTTTTAAAAAGGTAAATTGTGATAAGTTTTACTTATAAACGGATATTAGGTTACAGTTTATTTAATTTAAAAGGTCATTCTTTAATCTTCCAAATTAAATTTTCCTTTTTTATCTTTCCACATTCTCTTTAATATCTTGTTGTTGCCTTTTCTTTCTTTCTTTCTTTCTTTCTTTCTTTCTTTCTTTCTTTCTTTCTTTCTTTCTTTCTTGTATCGTTCTTTCTTTCTATATTCTCTTTGTATCTTGTTCTTTCTTTCTTTCTTTCTTTCTTTCTTTCTTTCTTGTTCCTTTCTGTCTGGTACCGTTCTTTCTTTCTATATTCTCTTTATATCTTGTTCTTTCTTTCTTTCTTTCTTTCTTTCTTTCTTTCTTTCTTTCTTTCTTTCTTTCTTGTTCCTTTCTGTCTGGTACCGTTCTTTCTTTCTATATTCTCTTTGTATCTTGTTCTTTCTTTCTTTCTTTCTTTCTTTCTTTCTTTCTTTCTTTCTTTCTTTCTTTCTTTCTTTCTTGTTCCTTTCTGTCTGGTACCGTTCTTTCTTTCTATATTCTCTTTATATCTTTTTCTTTCTTTCTTTCTTTCTTTCTTTCTGTCTTTCTTTCTTTCTTTCTTTCTTTCTTTCTGTCTGTCTGATACCGTTCTTTCTTTCGACATTCTCTTTGTATCTTGTTGCTTCTTTTTTTCTTGTTTCTTTCTGTTTTGATGCTGTTCTTTCTGTCTTTCTTTGGTCCTTTACAATCTCAATACATCGGTCCCTGCTTCTTATATACATGTTTGGTCTATTGCCAACAATGCTGTACTTTGGATTTCTGTGTATATGTTTCTCTCTATGTGTATGTATGCGCTTGTGTGTAAATCTCTATGTGTTCATAATTTATCCATGCGAATATGACAATTTTGTGTGTGTGTGTGTGTGTGTGCAGGACGAAGTGAATGAGAATTGTTTAGATCTGTGTGACTCATTCAACCTCTTTTTTCTTGTAATCATTCAGAAGAAAATGGTGCCCCTTTATTTAATTCTATCCCACAATGCAACAAAACAATCCAAGAAGGAGGCACCGATGTCTTTCAACATGCATTTCTTATTCAAAATGCAAACGATTAATTTCTTTCCTTTTTTACAATCTTTAAAGATTGATTTATACAGAAATTAGGGAGGGTAGTCTCCCCGTCTCTGCCATCTCTGGCCAACAAAACAAACCATTTATTCATTTGTATAACTTCCTCATTTAACACAATACTGCCTTATTTCTTTTTTTGTTTTCTTTCCTTTTTTGTTCTTTATTTTTTGAGTTTAATTTCTTTGTTTCCTTCCTAATATTTCTCATTTTGTCGTTTAAACAAAAATTCAGTCTTTCCTTCTTTTTTTTCTCTTTTTTCTTTCATCCCTTCTTACATCTCTTGCTATCTTCTGCTTCATTCTGGTCATTTTTATGTTGGCATATTTTAACTGTTTTTTTTCTTCTTTCTTCCTCCAAATTATTTGTCTCTTTCAATTTCATTCAGAATTATTTTCTATTGATTCCATTTTATCATCCTTTTGGGCTCTTATTCCTCAGGTTTCATTACAGAATTTCTTTCTTTTTACATTAAAGGTTTTTATATTTCTTCGTTTATTTCCTTTTCTCAATTATCATTTTTCTTTCTTTCTCAATTTTCTTTACTTTCTTTTTCTATCTTCATTTTCTATCTTCATTTTAGTCATTTTTCTTTTCTTTTTTTTTCTTCCAGTTTATTTGTCGCTTTTGATTTTATCCTTTAGATTAAAAATTATTTTAATTGATTCCTTTTTAGTTTTGGACTCTTATTTACCAGATTCCTTTACAGTAATTTCCTTCTTTCTTTTATGTTTAAAAGATTTTATAGATTTTTATTTATTCATTTTTTCTTCTTTCTTAATTCATCTTCGCCTTTCTCATGACTTTATTTTATCGCTTTCCTTTTTATTTTCGATTCTTTATACCCTTGTCTCTATTTTCTCCTACTTTTTACACATGTTTAAAATTTTCTTTTCTTCTTCTTTCTTAATTCCATTCTTTTTATTTTCTGCTTTTTTATTTCTTTCATTCGCTAAACCTTTCCTTTTTTACATATCAAAATATCTGTTCCTTCTTCTTTTCTTTCAGTGAATTTCACAATACCCTTTCTTTCTTTCTCTCTTTCTTTCGTTCTTTCTTTCTTTCTTTCTTTCTTGTATTACTAAAGACATTCATTATCTCTGTTACATATTTCATATTGTAACTTTCTTTCTTTGCTTATTAGAATATTCGTTTTTTCTTTGTTTCTTTCTTTGCATATTACAGTATTCGTTTTTCCTTCTTTGCATATTACAATATCCATTTCTTTCTTTCTTTCTTTTTTCTGCTCCCAAAAACATTCACTCTTTTCTTTCTGCTGTAGCTTCTTTCATATTTTATCTTTCTTCTTTGCTTTTTACAATACCATTTCTTTCTTTCTTTATTTTGTTTGTTCTTGCCTTTTTTTCTTTGTTTATTACAATATTTGTTTATCTTTCTTTCATTCTTTGTTTTTTACAATATCGTTTCTTTCTTTTTCTTTCTTTGTTACAATATTCTTACTTACTTTGTTTCTTTACTGATTTTCTATTATTTATAGCTTGTTTCTTTGTTATTTCTTTCTTTGCTTATTACAAAATTCACAGTTTCTTTGTTTCTTTACTTATTACAATATCTTTCTTTCTTTCTTTCTTTCTTTCTTTCTTTCTTTCTTTCCAACACTATCTCCTATAGCAAGTGCTACTCTTTACCTCTCTTCCTCTTTTACTTTATCTTTTCTTCTTCCCTTCTCTCTACACTTGATTGTCACTCTTATTTTATGATGCTTCTTTTTATATGATTCATAAAATTTTCAAATCTTCAATTAAACCAGGATATATGAACATCCACTTGACTTATGACCAAACAAAAAAACAATTCTAAATCTGTAATCTCCATTTTTATTTGCTCATGCCAATTCTTAAATTAACTTTATAAATGTGATAATATTTATTCACTTAGCTGCTAAAAATTAAGATATCTTATTTTTTATGCAGACAAATTGACTGTCTTTAGTGGCTTTTACTAAATAATTACATTAATGCTGAAACAAATACTACATTTTTTCTAAATATATTTTATCGGCAGTTCAGATTTATATTCTTCACTACTTGTGGAGTTCGTTCATTCTTCTTGTTGATTATAGAATGTGGATTATTATTTATTTATTTAAATATTTCTCTTATTTTTTCTGTAGCGTTTTATTTTTGAGTGAGGGCGGGGGGCATTCTTGATTTCTTTCATGCTTCCCTGATATTTTTTCTTCATTTTAATCTTCTTTTTTTTTCATCCACATTTTTGACAAATACCGCATTCCCTCCCCCCACTTCTGGTGAATTTTAAAAGACTTTTTTTCTTTTTATTGTCTCCATTAGAGCATTCACTTCTTTCCTTTCATGTTTTCATTTTTTATTTTATTTTTCATTTTCCGCTTTCAAAATGTATTTCTTTTATTCTTTCTAAATTTTTGATGCAATTTTTCTTTCTTTTTCAAAAGCTTTCTTTTCTGCGCTTTTCTAAATTCTTCATAAATCTTGATCTTTATTCATCTTTCAAAGAATTTTCCTTCTTTTTAAATCCTTACTCTTCTTCGCATTTCTTCTTCTTCTTCTTCTTTCATTTCTTTCTTTAATCCTTAAAAAAATCTTTCATTCTTCTTTCTTTTTGAAACGCTTCCGTTTCTATTCTTATTCATATTCTTCATAAATCTTCTTCATTTGCAATTCTCTTTCAAAACTTCTTTCCTTAAATTCCTGATATCTTTTCCCTTATTTCTTCCTTTCTCGTTATTTCTTTCATTTCTTCTCTTCAATTTCTTCATTTTTCTTTGTTGTTCAATACTTCTTTCTTTTCTCTTTTTCCTTATATTTTCTCATCCTTTATTTTTGCAATGCATTTTTCTTTACTCTTCATTCTTCATATATACCGATTCCAGCACGATCACCGAAGTTAAGCAACAGCGAGCCTGGTTAGTACTTAGATGGATGACCGCTTCGGAATACCAGGTGGTGTAATGGATAATGGCTCATAATTGTTAATCAGTAAGTTGAGTTCTAATTCCAGTCGGTTTCGTTATGTGTGAATAGCTTTGGAAAAGGTATGAATCCACCTCTTTTTTCCTTTAATTAGTAAGACTTGCATCACTAGATCATTATTATCTAAAAGAAAAAATTCTTACAATCTAAAAATATTTTCTGGATTTTTCATATCCCGCTTTCAAATGTATTTCTTTTTATTCTTTTTAAATTTTTGATGCAATTTTTCTTTCTTTTTCAAAAGCTTTCTTTTCTGCTTTTTCTAAATTCTTGATAAATCTTGATCTTTATTCCTCTTTGAAAACGTTTTTTCTTTTTTTAAATCCATAAAGTCTTTTTCTGGCTATTCTTAATATATGTTCTGTTTTCTTCATTCGCAATCTGTTTTCATATTCTTTCTTTCGTTTTTCCCATGTTTTTTTTCTTTGATTTTATCAATTTTCATTTACCTGTAATAATTTATCTTTTCTTCTTCATTTTTCTGTCTTTCTTTTTGTTATTTTTATTTTTCTTGTCTTATTTTTCCTTTTCTATTTTCTTTGTTGTTTTTCTTTTGGCTCTTCTCTTTCATTATTCATATTTTAATACTTAATAAGACATTTAAAATATTTCTTTCTCTTTGTAATTTGACCTTCTAGTTTTATGTCTTTCTACTTTTGCTTTCAATCTTGCATTTTTGCTTTTTCTTTTTTTTTTCTTTTCAAAAACAGAAATGACAACGAAGAAAAAATGTAAAAAAGGTGCATAACTTTTTACATTTTTACTTCGTTGTTATTTCTTTTTTTTCTCTTCTACTTTCTGTTTTTTTTTTTACTTTAATTTATTACTAGAATAAAAATGTTTTTCATCCCTTCTTTATTTCAAATCTGACCTTTTTTTCCTGCTGTATTTGAAAATTGTCTGAAAATAAGGAAAGATAGCTTACCTGTTTATGGTGTTCTATACTACAGGCCCACTAATAGTGCAACTAAGAGCTAGAACTGGAGGTTTGTTTCAAACTGAATTTCAGAAATTTGGGGGTAAAAGTCAAAGTGAAAATAATTGTAATGACATCCTGACCTATACCTGGGGATAATCATGAGCTGAAAGTTAAATATATGAAAATATGTATTTTTGGTGTGGGCACTGGCAAATATTAAACATGACAAAGAGAAACAAATGACCTGCAACATGTTGAAATTTTGTTAAGCAAAAACATTATTTTTCACATACATTATACAAAAGTCTATGAAACTTTTACAGGTGGTTCTTTGTTATATGCATTTTAATCTTTGAATTATTTATCCACTTTAAAATTGTTTTAATGAAAAGAAAACCATATTGAAACTATGAATTCTAAAACAAAAATATGACATGAAACCAAATAAACATGAAAGTCACTAATTTTATTTTATTTATATTATTATTTAGAAATTAAGTAAATATTGTCATTCTGATTTATTTTGTCATAAATATATTTCTTATGTTTATAGAAGAACCTAGAAAAAATAAGTCATAATAATGTATGGTTTAACTGCAGGGTTAGGATTAATGTTTCATACATCTCATTTATCATATCTAAAAATATTGAATTAAATTTATTAAATGTAAATATATGACATTAATTTCACATAATATTCTTAATAAATTACTTTTTCATTAATTTTGTAATATAAACCATATTGCATCAGTTTCTATTTTATGCTATTTAATGTTGATCTATGCTAAAATTCAACATATATTTTTAATACCTTTTAGAAACAAATCACAAATTATTCATAAAAATTAAATTTTATCATCAATATTTTGGTGGTTATGAATAAAAATGCCATAGATTAGGTTAACTTTACGAGACAAATAATGAGGTTTTTAAATAAATTTTGCAGCATAAAAACAAAATGAAAGAAAATACTTCAGAATAAAAGTTTCTGTTTAAAACATTTTTAAAATGAACTTTCTTAAAATGAATGTTTTGTATCATTTGTGAGAAGAAAGACTAGAAAAAATGATTTAATAAGTTATTTCTTTAAATCAGGTTTAATTACACATTTTTCAGTTCGAAGCCTTGTGAAGATTTTTCTTAATCTTGTGGTATAAAAAATTACGTTATTGTATAAGTATTATGGGAAATATTCAATATTTGGGTGGTTCAAAAGTAGGCTTACACTTAGTAGGTATGTACTTTACATTGTTTTTAAATATTTTATTACATTTATATTTATTTTTTTACAATCATATTTGTTAAAAACTGTTTAAGTACATTTGTTTATGGTTTAATTTCAGCTGCCCAGGGATGTAACAGTAAGAGATTGATCAAGTATCGACCATCATAAAGACTGAAAAATAAAATTGACAAAGATTATTGTTTAAAGTTGACGGACACGCATGTCTTAATTAGTTTTTTTTTTTTTTTTTTTTTTTTTTTTACGAATTGGTCAAACTCAAACAAAAACATTGTTTTCAATCGTTATGAGTCTACCGATTGAATAGAATTTTATTATAAACAATTGTCTTGTAAATGGAATTTTTACAGCATTCTGAATGTAAAAATAAAGAAAAAAGTGTGCAAGACAATAAGAAACACTACCCGCCAAAAAAAAAAAAGTGAAGTTTTGTTGAAATCGGTTGAAAAATGTAGGAAATCCGATCCCATATATAAAGGAACACAGACACACACACAAACAACCTGGGTTTTATAACAGGTATAACTCGATATGAGTTGTCCCCCTTTCATTCTCCGGACAGTGATGCCTCTTAATCGTGTTTACAAATTGATTTCATGCAAAAACAATTGTGTTTTTCCAATTTTGGGCGCTGTCAGAACCACCGCAAGCTAATTTTATGTAGTCCAGTGAAGTTTTGTTGAAATCGGTTGAAAAATTTAGCAAATGCGATCCCATATATAAACGAAACACACACACACACACACACACACACACACACACACACACACACACACACACACACACACACACACACAACCTGGGTTTTATAATAAATATGATACGATAAATTGCTTGGTATGAAGGTGGGAGATTGTTAAAGGCTCCTTGCTATACTCAGCATTTTCACACTTCCATTACTAGTATTTAGTATCCAGTTTCTTGGTTTAAATTGTTTGTCAGTGCTCACAATCCCTGTAAAAAGATAAAAACAACCATAAAAATTGAAATCAAAATTGGAGGAAATAGCTTAATAACCAAAACGTGAATAAAGGAATATCAAATTCTGATTTGGAATTATGTTTTGGATAAATTTGATCTACAATGGGTAACAAATAGTGAAACAAATGTAAGCTTACTTTTCATTCACCTGATATATTTTTTACCTGTTAGAAACGGAAATACAGATTATGCAAAAACAATTAAAGTTTATCATTAGTTGATTTGCTTTTATGGATAAAATTTCATAAAGAAGAAATTAAATTAAGCAAAAATTAACATTAATTAGCATTAAATGAAAAATTTTAAGTAAACTTCCAAGTGACAAGACCGAGATTCCTAAATTACATTTTTTAGTGAATTTCAAACAAAAAAGTTTGTTATTGCAATGAGAACATAAAATAATATAGCAAGTCTATTATCTTATACTTGCTTCAATTAAATAAACTAAAGCTAATCCAAGTGTAAAAGCAAAATTTTTATTTGAATTTCTTAAGCCAACTAGGAATAAACTACCACAAACTCAAATCAAAACTAAAATGCATTGCAGTTAAAATAACTCTTCAGGTATGGTCTTTAGTTGTATCATGAGTTGGCCTGTAGTATAGAATATCATACCTCTATTGATTTTTAAAAGAATAAAGATGATATATCATTATTATTGGTACTTTTGAAATATGTTATATATTATAAATTTAAAAAAATATTTTATAAGTTTAAAAATTGGAATCTAAAGATTTTGACAGAATTTACAAGTTTTTCAAGGTGGTGCAAAGCAAAGATAAAAGTCTGCAAATTGTTTTAATAAAAAATACTTTGTTGAAGATTTAGTGAAAGGGATTTTCTACCCAGTCAAATAGAGACATTGACTTAATTCTTGGATTGATGCGGACGTGTTAAGTCACGTGATAATTTTATGTTGAGTTGTTTTTAACTGGAATTAACCTTTTAGCTAATCTTCAAAAGATTCTGAAACTGAATTTTGCATTCCTTTTATTAAATGCTATGCGCAAAATTTCAAACATTTTTGTTTTCTTCAAATTCAGGAAACATCATCTTAATGCTGTCAAAAAGTTTCAAAAAGACATTTTAAAATATGAGACTTTTTCAATCTTTAAACCCTTTCAATTCCACATTCTACTGACAAGGTTGTGTTCATTTTAGTCCAACTCCTTGCCTGATTTGTGACTGAGACTATAGTCATTTGCTTTATTGGGTTGGATTTTTGAGCTGAAAAATCATAAGATGAAATAGTAAAGTGAATCTCTGGGCTGTAGGAGAAAAAAGCATTAATAAGTAATTGAGCCAAATAGTTGTGAGTTCAATACCTGGCCACAGCAGAGGTGAACAAAAATTTGGAGGGTTAAGTTACTAAAGGGAAATAGCTGAAACTGAACAATGAAAAGTTCATGGAACTAGAACAATTTAATAAAGGGTTTGGCTTGAAATTCCAATCACCCGAAGAAGACAGGATTGTACAAATGCTGAAATGTCATGGATATAACAACAAAGATGAGGACAACAGTCCAAACAATGTAAATAGAATAAATTTTTAAAATACCTCATCTAAGAAATATAGACAGATATTGAAGTTTTTTTTTTGTTATTTTTTCAAAGAAGATCCTGTTGCAGTTTTTTGTCTATATTATGTACTAGTGAGCCAGTCCAAATGACTTGACTCACTTTATAGTCCACCAATAGAAGGTTAACCAATCAGAAGACGTAGAATATTCAATCCGTCGTATATAAAGGCGGCCATTTTGTTTACTCTATCCGAATGTCCAGTGTCAGCTTGTCAGGCGAAGAGGAACAGAAGGAAGAACAACGCTCTGCTACTTT